ATGAAGTCTGTTAGAATGACTTTAAAGGATATAATAAAATACGAATTAAGGAATTTATTGTTGTCCAATTATAAAAGAATATGTTACGTGTTTTTCAATTACAGATTACTAAGAGCATTAAACTCATTAGCATATAAATTTATCAGTATATTTAAGCATATCGCAAGGAAGATTTCGAGTGTTTATTGATGTGATGTTACTCTTACCTACGCAACTCATCTACTCAAGATTTTCAGAGTGTTGATTCTTCTAATCTTTCGATTTATTTATATTACTGGTAATAGGTACTATGAAAACGAGAAAGTGTATAAATGAATTTAAGGACTTCGATTAGTTTTATTTCATGAGTCAAACTAGTATAATTAAGATACAATAACATGCCGAACAAATACTAATTCAGAAGTCAAACAACAAAATTCAGCGTTATATTTTCAAATTTTCATAGGAGTAGTTTCGATGGTTTTACCGAACCACCATCCTCAGCTGCAAAAGCGCAAATGCCTTTTGCACTTTAGAATGACTATAAAGGACATAATATTAAATCATGACGATTTTCATCGTCAGCTGCAAAGCATTTGCGCTTTTGCAGCTAACGATGGTGGTTCGGTAAAACCATCGAAACTAGTCCTGTGAAAATTTGAAAATATAACTCTGATTTTTGTTTGACTTCTGAATTAGTAAACTAGTATAAGTCAATAAAAATCTTAAATGATTTTAAGTAATAAACCAAAAATGTTTATTCTATGAGTATATTAATTTAATCAATGAGTCTGATGATTTTACACTTCATATGCAATTCACTGAGGCTTACTGCTAGCCGCTTCGTTAATTATTAATGTGAAAAAGAAAAAAAAAATATATAGTGATCTGAATGATAACAACTGATGTTATTTGTGGGCTAAAGTAGTAATTAATAGTGATTGAACTGAATCCACGTTTATTGATTAAAGATTTAAAAAAAATGTATTGAAATAAGTGATGGTGAGCTTATTTTTCTTTGTTTAGAAAAAGAAAATTGGCGACAAACATCTATCACAATCACGAAATTTGACACATTCAAGTCCCCTGAGCTAACTAATGAGGTGTGAAAAATAAAGTTTTTATTACTAATAACACTTATAACCCTTTTAATTTATTTTTTATAAGGCATCCTCATTTATGCGACGACTAACTTTAGCGGTATTCCATTTTTGAAATGACGCTTATAAGGAGCAATTTTCAAATACGATTCCTTTCAGCTTTTTTTTGGAGGGGGATCTCCAGTGTTTTTAGGCATGATTTTAGTACAACAAAACTTTTAGTGGAATCAGCTAATGTCTAAGCTGCCAGAGCCGTGATAAATATTTTAAAAGTCTGTTCAGTATTAAATTAAAAAATTCTAAATCCAGCTTTGAGAAAATCTCTGTGTAGTATTGCATTTTCGTCAAAGATAAGCACGTGTGAAAAATTCAGTTACAGAAATTAAGAAAAATCAGCTCAGCAGGAAAGAGACTATAATAGTTAATATCACGATTTGATCGAAACACGCAAATTAGCGAATAAATAAGCAGAAAAATGACCAGCATAAATCTATGAGTTGTACATAGACTATTTTCGAAACAACATATTTAACGCCACGTCTTTCAACTGTTTCGGTTAAGTAGAATTTTATTGTGTTTTAATAATTCTGGTCTCCAGAAACCCATTTTCCAACCACTTGGTCTTTCCAGGAGTTCATTGCAGAGTCAGAAGATGAAACGATTTAAAGAAATCATGTTTTATGTGCAAGGACCAAGCATCAATAAATAGTAATTACAGAGCAAGAGAAAAATTTCAATTTTCTCCCGTCCAATACATCGAAAGTGGCGAACTTGAGGAACGCGACTGCCTGAGGTTACGGTTGCAGGCCGAAGAAGTAATTCGTCAACAACGGGTCAGTGGCCAAATCGAAGACCCTTAAGCTTTCGATGGATCGACTTTTATTTTGTTTTGTTCCGTTTTTTTGCTTTCCTCCACCCTTAGGTAGTCGGTTTGTTCTCAGAGCCCATAAAGAAGTGTCATCATGTTCGACTTTGTCTTCACCTTGGTCGTTTTGTTATTCCGAAACTGCTCATCATTCGTTTTTTGTAAGCTCGTTTAAGGATGTTATTTTGGTCTACGGAAAATAGAATAGTTGATAGGCTTTTTGGTTTTGGGAAGAATGGTTTATACCGCTGTGTGGATCAAGTTAGTGACGTTGAGATTTCGAGAATTTCTATTTGAAATTTGTGACATTACAGATTCAGGAATAGGTTCGCTTTCAAAGGGCAACGTTACTTTTCTACGAATATTAGTGAAACTCAATTCTTTATGAATCTTTTAGCAAGCTTTCGGATTTCTAGGCACTTGGATAGTCCAGTAGTATATTTTTTTTAAAATCTGAAATGATTCAGGTTTTATTTTTGAAATACTAATTCTGCTATGGGATTTGTACTACTATTTTTAATGCATATTGCCATTAGCCTGAGAAATGTCCAGCACTTTGAAGCAATATTTATTTAAGAAAATTTTTTAAAATATATGTAAAAGATAAATTATAATTAGCAATGTAAATTAATTAATCCTCTGCATTCTAAAAATAGTAATCTCTATTTGCACTGCGTCATTTCGAACACTAATCCATGTCATATTATTCTTATGTAATTCTGATGGTGTAAATGTAACTAAAACAGCCAATAACAATTTTACAGAAGTATTAATAATCCAATTGAAATGTATTGAGAACCAAAACTAACTCAATCAGAACAAAGATTTCCTCCTCAGCATAACACACTCGCTCGCTACTCTTCGGCCTAGCTGGACTGCTGTATGCTGATTCCTTCTTACTGCAAAGTTATACAAAATGTAACTGTTTTTGAAATCAACCCAAATAATATGCCAAGTTGTTTGTGGCCGCATCATGTTTACTGAAAAAATAAAGATCTAATCTGCCTTTGCCTCCAATTTCCGACTCAATAGGAATCATTTCTACGCCATCAAAATCCCTGCTGTTCATTACTTCTAATTTTGTTTTTATTACACATTCTTGTATATATGTAAGATAAAAAATATATAAATCAGCTTTGTAATTTAATTTGTTAATAGCCTCTTTAATTCCTCATTTTTAATTTATGTATTTCTTCACTGTATTCTTAAAACTGCAATGACTTTCCTGCACTGCTTCATTTCTAGATTAATGTATGTCACATAGCTTGCGTAACGCTTATGACGTAGCTAATTCGGAACCTAAACTAAAAATTTCGAGAAATGAAACCTTTCTCACCTAAACCAAAAGCTTCTCTTGGTGAGCTTCCATGTAATAAATAAGAGAAAAAGACATAACAAATACAAAGACATAGACATTAAATCTTCATTTTTATTTCAATTGACATTTATGGGCACAATTTATTTGGCACTCTAATCGTGCCTATTCAAGAACATTTACATTTTTTAATACTGCTGCGATAGGAAGAGGGGCTAGGGAAATAGCGTCTTATTAATCGGAAGAGAGACAGAAGCTTTGTGCGCAGTTCTCTAATATGGAAGCTCACCGAGAAAAGATTTTGGTTTAAGTTAGAAAGGTTTAAGCTCTCAAAATTTTGAGTTTAGTTTACGAAACGTTGTGACTATAAATAATTTACAATTAATGCTTACACAATATTCAACATAAATATTTTAAATACAGTTAGTGCCCGGTGTCGGTGTAAAGACATCTAATTAGAAGAAACATTTCATTCACAAAATTCACAAATCTTTCTTTGAAGACAATTACGAACAGGAAGCAAAGTCTCTAATATTTTCCTAACATACTTTCTCTATACTACACCTCAAAACTACTATGAAAATAAAATTCTATTATTCTCTATAAACATTAGTCACACAACTCTTAATTAAAAAAAATCTGAAAGCTTTCTCCTTTTATATTACGCCCAAGGGGGCATTTTTTGTAATCTTTTGTGTATTAACTTTATTTCTTAAATATCATGTTCAACGCACTTAAATCATAAAACTCAATTCAACAGCAATATTACAAAATAATTTAAAAAGAGCATATCTTTAGAACTTTCGGTACACGGTCTCGCGCGCTGGAGATAAAAATGTTTTTGTTATTCAAAATCTGATGCCTCTAGGTACCGTTGTTTTTTCACAGTGCGAGAAACACACATACATTCATGCAGATTTTTCATTATTTAATTTCTTAAATGATGAAATAAATGGAATTAAATTAATTTCTTAAATGAAAATATAATGCAGGGATCTAATATTTGGTGGCAACAATCTGAAAATTTGAAAAGTGAAACGACCTTTATAGTGAACCAACGTAAAATGCTAAGAAGGAAATTAATAAACCGTCTGGCAAATTAGCCAGGGCTAATTTGCCAGACGGGGCTAAATGCCGACTAATTTGCTAAATATACTTTGTGGATTCGTTTGTCGCGCCTAACTTAAAAATCTTATAGTTTAGATACGATTAGAATTGTTTCTCTCTTATTATCTCTAACGAACTCTCAAAATCCTCTTTTAGAAGCTTTGTTGAGGAATACAGATATAGATGTGCAAAATCTGTTTTAAGGAATATTTTCGAATTTAAATGCATTGTACAAATTCTTCACTTTTAACTGGTCAAACTGAAAGTATATGAATTTTATTATAACAAATATAAGTAATTAAGCTTTGTTAAAAAATGCATTTAAAACAAGCAACATCAGGAAAATCGTAATTGCTAAATAAATAAGAATGCTTTAGTTGTTACACAAATTCGGTTTCAAATATAAATTGTTTAAATGTTGCCCAAATTTCTTTTCGAGAAAAGCGCAGTACGTTAAAAAATTATCAAAAGATCTCTCTTTTGTATTTATCGTTTGCAAGTATCGTAATTCTTTTTCCCGGTAAAGGTTATCATCGCTATTGATTGCGACATCAATCACGATAAAGAATAGTTTACTGTTACAGACATAACAAATTATATTCTTATGCTTTTATTTTTATTATTATTGTTTTAGACTTTTCCTGAATGGCAGTTTTATTTTGGTTTTTGGGAGAAAATACTACAACTCTATCGGGAATTAGAATCTACAGATGAGATCATTCTGTTATAACTTCGCTGTAGTGTTTCTATTCTTTTTCAAGCTTTTACATTTAATAGCGTCTGCAAGATTTCAAGGTTAGGTAAATATGATTTAAACATCTATTAAGCACGTTTACGTAGTATAATTGTGAATGTAATTTTTAAAAAAGCAGATATTATAAAGCATATTTCAGGGCCATCAAATGGCAACTGATGTTTGCCATTTTGTTTCAGAATCGTGAAATGTCGTTTGTATAATGGAGAATGAAAGGCAAAAGGAAAATGAAAGGAATAATACATAATACGCTTATTCTACAACAAAGTTTAATTTTACTTTTACGAAAATTAATTACCCAAACATATTTATTCTAAAGCAAAATTATGCTACGTATTTAAAAATTTTCGTAATTAAGCACAATTTCGCTTTTTCTGTAGCAAAGTATAATTTTTCTTTTATGAAACCTATTTACAAAACGTATACTTATTCTAAACCAAAATTAAGTACGTGTTTAAAATTAAGTACGTAAATGTTTATTCTATAGCAAAGTTTAATTTTTCTCTTATAAAAACCTAGTTACGAAAACGTATACTTATTCTACAGGAAAATTAAGTACGTAAGTTTCGTAATTAATCATAAAACTTTCACTTATCCTATATTAAAGTTTAATTTTAAATAAGGAAATGAATTATTAAGAGAATCCTATGCAGTTTTGATAATTCTAGTGAAATATTAGCGATATTTTCTTTTTTGTAGAATATGGCAGAATCATCCGTAATATGTTCCCCCTATTTTTCATATTTTTGGAAGTATTTATATATGTATAAGTAAACAAGGTAATTATTAGTAATAAATTGCCTACTACTTGCGCTAAAGCTGCAAAGTAATAAAATAATAATTTATTTTCTAGTAGATTATTGGGTATATTATCTCTTAGATAATATAGTCAATTATTCTACTAGAAAATAAATTTCTATATATATATGTGTGTGTGTGTAACATATAACAAAATATGATGACCGCTTTAAGAGACGATTGGCGACCTCAAATTAACTATTCTAGATTTTATGTTCTCCCCCCTAAATTCATCTGTTCTCCCGAATTCGAGATCTTTGCATGTTACATAACGCTGCTTGAAAAATGGAACTAAAACCCAAAATTATCCAATCGTAGATTAGCTGCACTTAAGCATACCCCAACCATCAGCAAGCTGGTACCCTAATTTTGTTGGAAAGGTCATGACAAGTAATCGTCAAAGTGTTAATGTGTTATTTTTGCATTATATCATTATGTTTTTGTATTGAATTTTCTGTTGTATTAAATATGTTATAAGGTATTTCTCCTGCCTTCTTAGCATGCCTTCGTAGTATAGTGGTGAGCACTCTCGGTGAGTATTCTAGAGGCCCGCGGTTCGAGTTCCTGTTCGGGCGCATTGTAGAGACATTAGGTTATTTCGAAGCAGGAGAGATGAAAAATTAGCAACGCCTTCGCCGGGACGGGAACTGCGAGCCTCTCGAATACGCGCCGAGCGTGCTCTACGCAGCAGTAATTTCGGCCATGGCTAGAACGTGAATTGTTTTTATCTTATCTCCAAAAGTAAAATATTACATATATTTTATTACATATGTGTAATAATGTAATGATAATTTATTACATATATATTACACATACATGTGTGTGTGATGATTTATTTCTATGTAGATTATAGACAACTTAATATTAGAAGATCTTGATTAGAGAATGCACCAATTCTCTTTTTAATCATAGCCGAGAAGACTTGCACAGATGATGACTGGAGGGAAAATTATAATGGCTTGATAGTTAAAACATGAACATAATTTTTATTTTTAAACATGAGCAATTCTTTATAAGCACATTTTACCTTAATTGGTACAACACTAGGGGGTGCTAAACACACCCCACAATTTTTGATACGCATTTACGATTTAGAACAATAGAAGAATGCCGTTAAGACAAGAGACGTCATAAAGCAAGCAGTTTAGGCGGCAAACGAGAGCGCGTAGTTGGATTGCAGCAGTATTTCTAGTAACATTTTTCGTTCATCCGATTGGCTAAGAACTAACTGTACGGAATGAGGAAAGTTAAGATGACATAATGCGGAATTAGTTTTCAGATATAACGCAGTTTTCAAAACATTATTACTATTTTTAAAATGGAGAGGAGGAAGTGCCTAAATAAAAAGAGGAATTAAGAGGGTATTGCTAATTATAATTCTATATTAGTATAATAATATATTAAATATATTAGTATAATTCAGAGTTGAATGTTTTTTATCTTACATATTCCCCGTCCTTTCAAGGAGAAAAAAGCCTGGCGATAGAAAAGCGTTTTGGGGGAAAAAGCATTGGATCACTAGCGCAGAAAGTGAGTTTTCTAAAATATATGCAATTCCAGTGAGAAAAACCTATAAACTGATTCAAGATAAATTAGAAATATTAGAACAATTCATGATATAATCTGTAAGTAAAATTCAGAGTCCAGAAGTCTCTAAAATATAAATTTATAAAGTTCTTGAGGTGGTTAGAAAATCACTTAAGAGATTCTTTCAGTCTTGTGAAAATCTTTCATAAAACGTAAACTTTTTAATCAATATAAAATCAAAATGTTTCTAGTATATAGTTATGAAATTCTATTAAAAGTAATATTTATTATAAAAGAAAAGCATATTTTTTTATTGTACAACAGTGTAATGATCAATACACTCAATATATTAAAATAGTAAACCGTGGTTAAAACGGGCAGGTTTTCTACAAGCGAATCAGCGTAACTAACTACTTGCTGATGGCTGTAGGATGCTTAACTACAACTGACATAAAAACCTACATTCCTTATGCAATTTAACTGGCTTTTAGCACTGTATATTAAAAAAAAAAATCAAAGTTTGTATTTACTTTTCATGACCATAAAATTCTATACAATACGTACTTGTAATAAAAAAGAAATATACAAAAATTAAAATTCATACTTTAAGATCTGATTATTTCGTTGAAGATAACTTGCTATTAGATCACAGCTTGATTACGGAGAGCACCAATTCACTTTGCAATCATGGCCGAAAAAAACAACTGCTGCATAGATTACTGGAAATTACTGTGCAGTGGATGACCGGATGGAATTTTGGAAGAAACACGACCAGCTCGGTAGTTAAACATAATTTATTTTTGGATAACGAATTTTTTAGCACATACCTTCTTTATTCGTAAAATACTAGAGGTGCTAAACGCGCTCCACAGTTCTGAATACGCACTTACATCTCACATAAGGAAGAATAGCTAGCAGAGGTTATGTAACACATTGCCAACAGGAAGGCCAAATGGTGAAAAAGAATGCGCAGTTAAGTGTGGTACTATTTATAGTCTTGTAAAGTCTTTGTTTTTATCCTGAGTAGCGACTGGGCCAAAGGTTTGGCACTGCGGTTATTGTAGGAAAAGCGTGATGTAACATGGTGCCGTATGGAGCCTTGAAGAGTGAACGTGTGCAGTTAAGAATTTAAAGGACCGTTCCAGTTAAGTTTAATTTGATAATAAATTTTTCTTCATATTTTTATGTAAACTGATATATACATTTACATTCGTCATAAACTGTAATGCATAGTGTTACTTTTCTGCTAAATTTACTAACGCAGAAAACAGAGAGAAAAATTAAAATTTAAAGTAAAGTTATACATTGATTTTGTAATGACGTTGTGGAAATAGAATTTACAATACAGAGGTATTCATTAACAAGATTCGATCGTTTCTAAATGGAAATATTCCGAGAAAACTAATGATCAAGGAAATTTTTCCCTTCGCAATGAAATTTTTTCCCGACTGATTAGGTTAAATGAAATCAAAATGTGCATAAATTAACACCAATTGTAAACGTCATTAAATTCAACAAGTAAAAGGATATTTTACCTTTTACAATACTAAAAAATGTGTATCATAAATATGCAAAACTTTTACGTTAGTAAAGCGAAATTGTTGTTGAACAGGGCTGAGCTCTTTTAAAGGAATAAACGTGAATTTTTCACTAAATAAAATTTTGTGTAAAATGATGATATCATTAATACATAAGATCGGTGGAGGAAGGATGATTATGCCCGGAATATAAAAATACTATGAAGACAAGATATTTAAAAAAATAAAGGAAAGTAAGTAAAATTGTGTAAGATTTAGAGATGGGTGGTTAGTCACAAAATGCAACTTTTTACCTCAGGCCACCGTAAGGGGAGGAACACAATGTATAAGGTAAGGAATATAATGCTTTCGACCAAAAATTCAAAAGTGGCAATGTTCTTTGATTGAAGAATTGTATCAGCATAATTGTCAGAGTTTGACATATAATGAAAATTAGGTGACTGGTGGTTGCCATAATGCATAAGTACAAAAAAAAGTAGGCCCACCAGCGGCCGAGCGGTAAAGTCGATGAATACTGGTGGTTCAGTTTGGGATTCCATTTTTAGTAAATGGGCTGGCTGCATATGCGTTTTCATGGTTTTTTTTCAAGTATACGAGCCAATCCCTTAGAAAGTCTTCCACGAAGGCATCCTTCCTCTTAGGCCTATAGCCCTCGCTTTCTTTGCCATAATAAAATAAACCAAGTCAAAACAGTAATTTAATCAGATTCATCCTGTCTTATTATCAGTTTTCCTCTACCTTTGTCCGCGCTATACGTACACATATTGTATGCAGTTGTCTACGTCTTATCGATTTTATGCTGGAATCGATAGTACGCATAATCAGTTTACTCCGATCCTGCGCCTTGTCGACTGATATATACACAGTGACGATCCTATGTTTGTGATTATTCTACACAGATGACAAATGTGTGCCATTCTTATTCAAAATTAATAATAATCAAAATTTGCTTTTTATAGTGTAGATTCTGTGAATGTAATCCAAACGTAATACGTTAAATTTTAAATTAAAAAAATAATAAATAGTGATCTAATCCCCCCCCTTCTGCAAAAGCAGTTATGCATTTGACTTTGGAAGAAGATTTGAGATTTATTTTGCATGGTAGCAAAATATTTCATTGCGGCTGTGATTCTAAAAGTAACGCTGTAAAGTGGGAAAAGGCTTCGATATTGAATGAAATATATCAGTTTGATCGTTACTTTCAATAAAAGAAAAAGAAAAACATTAATGCAAAGTTTAAAATTAAGCAGAAAAAGATATTTTGATCAAACACTTTCGATTTCGAAAACAAGAAGGCACAAGTTCCTCTTCTTCAGAATCAAAAATATTTTTGCTTTTAAAGAAAGGTTTAATTTGATCATTCTCGAAATCGATAGAGTTTTATTTAAAGTCTACACCAAAATAAAAATTGCTTTTATGCCTAAATCGTTCTAATTTCAATTTACAAGTTCTCGTTTGAAAATGAAAGGGAGGGGGAATTCTGTCTTTACAGCAGAACAAAAATAATTTGAGATATGCTTCCGTTTTTTAGCTGAACAGCCGGTAAGAGAAAAAAAAAATTATCTTAGGTGGCAAGCAGTTTAAAATGTTAGGCGGAGTCCGACCTTGAATATTAAAAGCGAACAGGTCTCTAACAGGAGTGGGATGGAGATATAAAACCTGTATTGCCTCCGATTTTTTTTAAATATATACAACATTTTTGAAAATTATGTCGAATAATTAAAAGCAATCACTGAAACACTATTGATATATTCAAAATAAAGAAGACTACTTCAAATAACTTTATTTTACAAATTTACGAACATACAGAGAAGAGTTTGGGAAGGAAAGGAAATTGTTCAAGATTGGATTACAGAAATTTTATAGGACTTCTTTGAGTTATGTGAAAAAAAAACGTAATCATACAGAGTGACTGCAAATGAATCGTCTGATTGTAGATGAGCGTAATTTCATACCTGTTAAAAAGTAAATCTAAGAGCTTTGGATTGGGGCGCCTTCATAACGGTACCGCATCTTTATGCAAGTTCGGCCACTATTCGAAAAGACAAAAGTCCTCATAATGGTGTCATAGCATAAAGGGCGCGTGCACAGACTGAAGATGAGCTTTCCGACGTTTTTTTATAGAGGTGCGAATACACTAATGCAAGTCCAATTTTCATTTCAGTTATTGATTAACTAATTAAGTTTCAATTACTGATAAAAGTAATAAATAGTGTACTGATCGAATCTTCATGAGAAACGTAGTATTGGTGTCAGGGTGCCGAAGTTTGGTCAATAAGAACAATTTTCGGAGTTGTGCTTCTCGGAAGAGGTTTCGTGTTTTTCTATAAATTTATTTTCTCCGAAATGACAAACTGCTGTACGCATTAGGAGTAAAACGGTAGTATACAGTTATTTTTAATTGAATCTCTTTTTCTTAGATTTGTAATGAATTAGAACATAAATTTAGCAAAAATTGCTTATACTTAATCACTTTAAAATATTCTATGAAATATTCAGTTTTTTATACGGTTTATCTAATAGTTGGGCTATCAGGGTACAAGCCATTTTTACATATAAAGATGCAATTTTAGAGTTAAGATGTTTGGAATCCCCCCCCCGCTCTATTTAATGTTATCCTTTTTTCTAGTGTTTTCGAAATTTTTTAGTACTAAGTTTTTAGAAAATGTTGCTCTGTGTGAGCGAAAAAGAACAAAGGAATCCAGAAGAAAATAGCGTTATAACGGATTAATAATAAATAAATTTGAATAACTAACAACAATTAATTATTATAAATTATTTCATAACTTAAATAAATATAAGTAACTGTAAAACAAAACAAAAAATATTCAACTATCTTTCGGAAGAAATCGGACTTGAATAAGAGCGCGCGCATTTTTACGAAAAACGCCTGATTAGCATTAGGGTGCCACAGCATTGTTGTGAAGATTTCTATCTTTTCGAACAGTGGCTAACTTGCATAAGTGTGCGACACCATTATATGATACTGTCCCTTAGAATGTTCTCAAATTCTCGATGATGTTTCCTTCACGAAGAGATATTGCTATTTTAAATTATTCGCAGTAGACCGCACCATTCAGTTTCTGGGCTAGTCTCTTAAATTTATCATATGCGTTTGGGGACAGAATTTAAAATGTTCCATTGTTGAGGAACAAAAATAATTGTTCTTAAAAATTAATGATTTTGGAATTCTCGAACAAACAATAAAAATAAAATCTTTGCTGACTTTTGAAGTCATGTTTAAATTTCTCAGTGTGTCATGTAAATCATTGCAACAGTTGGTGTCTTCTAAGCTATTTAAATGAGAAGAATGAAATGAAGACGTTTTGGACGATAAATAATTTAGAAACTGGTGAATCACAAACTGGTTCACTAGTTGTTGAGGACTAAAAGCGTGAAACAGTAGTAATTCGCTGCGGGTTTTTCTCCGACGAGAAAAGGGGGTTTACAATGGATTGTTCGTAACTGCAACATAGATACTGACTAATTTTCTTTAGAAATACTTTCTTCTCTAAGAAGATAGTCTTAGTATGTTTTAACTTAATGCATTCATTCAAGAGTCCGTTTTTTCTTCGAAGGTGGGAAAGAAAAGACTTGGATCGCAATGCTGAAGGCCAGGACCATCCTTTCGCGACTGGTTGGATGTCAACGTCGAGCCTTGTTTATGAACACCACAGCTGCCTATATGAAAGAACCGCATATGAATGATTTTCACTTTCCGTATCCTAATGCAGAAGCTTGGGCTGATGGCTATCGCAGACGACAGAAGAGAAATAACTTTGTCCTGGGAGTGGGTCTGGTCCTCTTTGGAATTACTGCCTTTTCTACGTACCTGACGATCATTTTACCTGCACTTCCACCTACCCATGACGAGGCTGCCGTGTTAAAGAACTAAGTTATCTGAATAAAATAAAAACTTTTAAATAATTTGCAAGTATTCGTGGCAGTCAAATATGATTTTTAAATAAATTCTTTTCATATTTATCCATGAGTCATTAATTTTACTGTTATACCGTTTATCCGTTTTTACTTTATTTTACTGGCGATCAGCTCAAGGCTTAGATTTGTTGGTTTCTGACTATTTATAGCAGATGACACATTTCGCTAATTAGAATAATGCAAACCAAAATAAAATTTGTTACTTTCGTATTATTCCGTCGGCCATGAAAAAGCTTCGCAAGCAGCGAGCCAGTTATGAATAAGTGTGACGTCACAACACACTCAAAGCATGCGCGCTTCCTTTTGATGCAACCCCAAGTGATTCTCGATAAATCATTGCATTACTGCTATCATGTTATTGTAACAGTTAATTTTACTACAAAAAATTATTTAAATTTGTGACTTGTCTTACTCAGAATAAGCAGCGGATTATTTTCAAAATTATGGGATGACACCATCGATAAAAGTGAGTTTGTATTAATGGGATATGATATGGCACCCTATTTGAAAAAGGATAAACAATGGCAATGCAACGTGAAAAATTGTAACAAAATAATAGCCATTCGAAAAGGAGTGTGATTCGAGGGCTGTAGAATTACATTTGCGAATGCACTCTGGCTTACCTGTCAAGAAAATTAGCATATGTTGAATAGGGAATAGAAAGTTGGATACGGCCGATGAAACAGTAATAAATTGGATATTTGAATGAAATTGCACTCATAGAGCTTTCAGCACAGCCATTAATAAATTGTTTTAGCAGCTTGAATTAATATGTACACAGTTTTTTTTATTAACTGAATTTGTAATTTAAATCTGTCGATTTTATAAGAAAATAAAGAGAGATGTGTGATTGTGTATAAAACAAAGAAGTGTTAGTTCCTTTAGCATTCCACAGGAACGACTGGCGGAACTTTGGCGGGATCTCTAACTTTCATGGTTTGATCAAGTTTCGCGGTCAACGGTATAATACGTAAATACCTAAAAATCTTTAACTAAAATGTTTATTTACCGTGACAAATTACAAAAAGTACAATTTCAAGAGCTAACTGAATTCAAAGCATAGGCACAAAATTAATGTATAAATATTTGCGTTTAGTATAATATTATTCATTCTTGGGGTACTTTGACGGGATATCTTAAAGTATAAGAAAATTACAAAATATAATTAGTTTAAAAAAAGGGTTTAAGTTTTAACAATCGCCCAAAAGGGCGATTATAAATAGAAATGACCCAGGTGGAATAGCGAAACATTTTACAGGATAATAGAGAATATGTATTTACACTAACATGAGAAGATTTTATGTCTTTTATATATTAAAAATGTAAAAAAAATGTATAGTGTAATTCCATACAAATATTGGATGTTTTTAAGTAGATATTTCATGAATTAAATGCATTTTTATGTAAATCAATCCGATTCAAAAGTAAAAAAACTTGTATACATAAGAAGTACACCTTGCAAAAAAGGGGGGAGGACAGTTCTATATCTCTCGTTCTACTGCACCGATTGTCGAAATTTAACTTAAGTTTTACATGCCTCGAAAGGCCGACTTGGGATATATAGTAGATTTATGTATAGCATTGTTCTAACATAGATATTTTGACACAAAATAAGTTTTTCTGAAATAACATACCAGTTCTGAATAACGTGGTCCTCCAGCCGAACATGGACCCCTGTAAGCCCAAATTTTGAATTTCATATTTTGTAAAACTTTAATGAATTTTTAACAAATTCAGCTGAAAGTGAGCAGTGGCAACAATGTACAGATTAAAACTGTTATCCAGAACGCGCGAGACTGTACATTCGAATTCTAAAGATCAGCTGTTTTTAAATATTTTGTGATTTTGCTATTGAACTGAATTTTATGTGGCATAACTGCGAAGAACACGATATTTGATTAATAAATTTAACACATAAAACATTAATGTGATTAAAAAAATTTTTTTGCAAGCTATATTACAAAGAAAACTGTGCATTGATATGATAAACTGAGAAAAGAATGAACAAAATAGAAAAATGTATGACAACACCTAGGAATGCCACCTGGGAATTCCCGACGGCAACACTGCATCGGGAATTCTAAACACATGCCTTTAAAATTTTGTAATTTAACTGTTGAACTCTGTATGGTGTAATGCATATAGCGCAAATGAGAGGAAAATGATGCTTAATAATAACGCTAAAAAGAAAAAAAGAAATGCGTTAGCAGAAGTGAGTGCAACAACCAGACTGGTAGACTGCGAACTCAGCAAGAACGTAGCAAAATCTTAACAAAACCTTTTGGGCGACCGTTAAAATGTGAGTCCTTTCAGATGTTTTTTTTTTTTTTTTTTTTTTTTTTTTTTTTTTTTTAATGTGTTGCTGCAAAACGCTAAACCTCTGGAGAACTCCCAGATTTCGCAGGGGGGGCTGTTTTTTATATTTTAAGATTGACTGCTAAGCTATTCCTTTAAAAACTGCCTAAAAATCAGCTTTTGGGCAAAGTTAGATATGAATTGGTACCCTTCTTACCACAACAGAGGATAACAACATGAAAGGGGAAAGAAAGGCAGTGGACAACAACGGAACATTTCACAGGACATTTTGCAGGAAATGGTGCGGACAAAGTATTTATTTGCTGAAGCGCAGAACCGTGAACCATTTTCGTTGTTGTAGATAAGTCCTGATTCAGTTTTTGACTGATTGATTCCCCTTATATATTTTTGTCTAAGGGAGGAAGAACGATGAATTCGTACACTACCGACTGACATTGCATGATGGACATTTACAGGTCTCAGGCTCCAGCCTGATGAGCCGCAGCTAGCGTGGCCTACAGGTTGTTTTTCAAAGACTAGGTCACGAGTTTTTTATCTGCATTTAACGCAGACAAAATTAATCTTTAGGAGCTTTCCCCTCCTTTGCTTCTCATAACGTTCTTTTAGAAATATGCACGTCTAACAGCTTTGCATTGTTTAAGTGATCTATCCGATAACCGTAGCTTTAGTTTTCGCTTTTGAAAATGGGCATTGAAACGATACTTTTTATATATTCAAACAGCATCATTTCATAATACAGGGTGGTTATAATGAAAGTTTCTTTTAAATGGTCATAAAAGAAAAACTACTGGACCAAATGCTATCAAACTTGGTAATCGTGTAAAGGTCGTCATGGGAATTTATTTTCCACGGGAAAAAAGTTAAAAAACCCACTACCGGGGGAAAATGGCGCTGTATGCAATATTTTTAAACCAAATAAGGGTCGGAATCCTTACACTGGTTTAACATGTTGTATACCCTTAAGAAACTTTGACCTAAACGAAACTACCATTTAAAGGTGTTAAAGGCGATAAAAGTCGAGTGCGCAATCCATGTAAAGGAAAAATCCGTCTGTGAAAACCACAAGTTAGAGATTGGAAAATGTGAGATCGTAAATCATTTTCAAAAGTGTGCGCATTCCGGAAATCGTTTTCTTATAAATCGCTCATGTTATCTACCCAGTTCCATTGCATTCCCCTAAAGTCGCCGTTTGGTGTGGTATGACAGCTAGTTTCATAATTGGGACCATTTTTCTTTGAAGAGCAGTCGACAGTTGGACCTGTTACATGCACTGTGACTGTAGCTCGCTTAGCGTCAATATTAAGACGTTTCGTGATACCTGAACTGCAGCAACGTGGTATTTTAAACACCACGATTTTTATGCAGGACAGGTCTCCTACCTCACATTGGTACATGTGTCACACAGTAATTTTGGCAACATTTCACGAATAAACGGATTATAAGGCCGACACCTCCCTACGTCTCTGGTGACTGGTCACCCCGGTCACCAGACCTCAACCCCTGAGACTTTTGGCTATAGGGTTATCTCAAAAGCACTGTTTATGGCGATAATATAAACAATTTGGTGGAATTGAAAGATACGATACACCGACATGTCCGTAACATTCCTCCTGATATGCTAAGAGCTGCTGTTGAGAATGCTGTAATACGAAACATACAAGTACGCAAGTCATACTTGCTTTCGGAAAATGGTGAAGGCCCCATTGAAGATGCTTTGTAACATGTTTCAGAAACGATTAAACACGTTTTAAACTGATGTATTCATGTCTTATTTCGTTTAACAGTATTGTCTCCCTAGTGGTGAATTTTTGAATGTTTCTTTCTTTCGCGGAAAATAAATTCCCATGACCTCATTTACACGATCACTAAGTTTGATAACATTTGGTCCAGAAGTTTTCCTTTTATGATCATTTCACAAAAAAGTGGAAATTTAATTATAACCAACCTGTTATTAAAATTATTCGTAACCGGCAATATCAAAATAGCGGTAATGCTGAAAGTCTGGATTTAAATCCGAAATTTTTAGGTGCATGAAGATAAAAATATATGTAATGGGCTAACAAATGTTGGAAATATTTGTGTTATATTTCTGCTGTCCAACGTATCAAGCATATAAAGATGAACTACTGATTCATTTTTATGCATTCATGTGTGTTTTCTGATAGTAGTATCCATGAATATGGGAAACAATTCCCACTGAAGGACGCTATGTTTATTTTGTCTTTGCCTTGGAAAGATACAAAAATTATTACTTTTCATTGCCGTTAGTGTAAACTGAGACCTAGGATCAGTTAGTTTAACGCATTTTAATTTTACCCATAATTTTAATTCCCCTTATGTAAGAAACCTACGCTTAATATTTACAATGAAGCCAAACTTAATCAGTTTGTCATCAGTTTCATACTATATCAACTTGCAAAATTAAATCCAAGGTGAAAATAATCACTTAAACAAATCTTACAAATGATTAATTACTCTTGAATTGTTTTATATCCATAAACAGTCAAGATTGACATCTTGAAAACAAATAAGTACTGGTAGATGAATTTTTACATATAATACCTATAAAAATACAATTCAACTCACTTGAATTATATTTAGTATTCACTACAGTTTTGATAATGCATTTCACTATACATAATAATTTGATTATATTGTTTCTATTAAATATTTTAAGATAAAAAATAAAGGTTCATTAAACTAATCAACAGTGAACAGAAATAAAAGAT